TTAAATTTGGCATCATTGTTTAATTTAAATTTTTCACATTTTTAGATATTAGCATTTATCCTAAGACTTTCAGTTGGATTTTGGATTGAAAATAACCTTTTGTACAATAAAGACATAGCAAATATTTGCAAAATGACTTCTTAATTTTTTGTCCTTTAGTATTACTACAATTATTAATCAATAATGAAATATACGAGGATCTCGTATTCATTTTAAGATTTGCAATTTCAATATAGAATTAGAGTTTAATTTGGGAAGAATGAATTTAAGTACTTGTTTAACGTTAATCGTAACAGTAATCTAGTTTCTATCGCTATTGATTGTCGGAAGATCTTTTTATGTAGCAGTGGACTTCACTAAAACCACCTGTTCCAATTTGCGTTTCCATACCGTATTATTTTACTATATGCCTTAATATTTTTGATCACAATAAATGCAATTTTTTTTATTGTTCTCTAAATGCACGTTATCAATTTGGTCCCTACGAGTTGCATTTAGGGAGGTCTGATTGTGCAACAAAGTTTGCTTATTGAGCCTCTTGATTCAATGCATATGCGCCTTTACGTTGTAAATTTGAAAACTTGTGTTCAATAATTTCTCTCTAATAAAATGATAAATTTTTTAGTTAATAATTATTCTTATTGAGCAGAGAACATCAACTACGTTTGTTCATCTCAATTTAACACAAATAAAGGCTCCTTATTGTAATAGCATTAAATAATTCATTAAATTCTTATAATCCACTTGATGACACAATTAACATGATTGTGACTGGATTAGCTCCATTATTTGATAGTTGGCTTTTTTAAGTGTGTCGAACAACAAAAACTAAAGCAACGTTCTTTAATAAATACATTTGATGATTTTATCATATTTTTATCTAGTGTTATATACTATTTTACTAATAGAGTTCAATAGTTTCTATACTTTAAAACAGAAAACAAATTTGTTTGTATTGCTCTCTTTTTAATTTTAATAACACTTTTTATATGTTCATACTTTTATTTTTGGTCTTTATTCAAGACAGATAACACAGAGCCAAATAGGCTTAAATTATTGATTTATATAATTATAATAATAGTTTCATTGATTTTTTCTCTAGGATATTTTTTTATTCTTGGTGGTGATTATGATTTATTATCACTTCATTCTCTTAGTTACTCGATTAATTATATTAGCAGTTATTGCATTGAATACTTTGGGATTAAGAGATGTAATTACTTAAATACATCAAGTTTAGTAATATACATTACCTGCATAGGAATAAGTCTTATTTATTTGGCTTTTTATCTTACACCACGTATTGGATTGAAGAAACTTTATCAATATATTAATAATTTTCATGAGAAATGGGCTTATGATTATCTTTTGATTCCTAATTATATTGTAATTATCATACTAACAGTTTATCCAGCAATCGTATCTGGATATTTACTAAATACCAACTGAAAGTCTTAGGATAAATGCTAATATCTAAAAATGTGAAAAATTTAAATTAAACAATGATGCCAAATTTAA